AGCACCAGCAGCAGCAGCAGCAGCAGCAGGGGAACCGGCCCCCCTCCAACTCCGCCTCCAACAACAACCCTTGCCCGCCTACGCCGCGCCCATCCTGGACGGACCAGGGGGACGTAGGCGAGCGCTGGATGGCGCCAGGCCCCTCATGGGCGTATAGTTATGCCTATGCTGCCGCCCACGCCCACCAAGCCACCCGCCAGCTGACTCAGTGACGAGAGGGCTGAGCGGGTAGTCTCCACGGGCGGCCCCAACCGGGCTTTCTCCTCAAGTGATACTAAGCTGTGAGCAAGTAATAATGGTGTACACGGGCCGAGCCTCGTCGAAGGCTCGAATCCGGCGGTCCAAGAATGACGTAGGGTTGGTGGCCCTGCCCGCCTCAGGGGCAGCGCGAGTGCAGTCGCTCCCGTGGCCGGGAGGATGCCATGGGGCGTCTTGCCCTCTTCAAGAGGCTCCTCCCTGAAGGCTCGAAGAGTGCCAGGGAGGTCCAGGACTGCCCTGCCCCCTCTCCTTGGAAAGGGAGTGCCAGCAAGGGAGGCACAGGGCCACAACCGTCGTCTACGGCATCAGGGGTCGTTCAACTTCGCGACCCGAGAGAATTCGGGTCATTAACCTTAATGTAAGAATGTTCAGTGACTTTTCGCGGTGTCATCGCTCTCGGATGATCACTCCCAGTCAATAATGATCGAGAAATTATGAAAAATTGGCTTAACATTAGCAGCCACGGTCTGCCCCTACAATGTTGAAAACTGAAATATCCTTAGACTGTACTCAAGCATTGTGACTACAGATACTTTATAGAGGAATGACCGTTAAGTTCGTGTTCGTCAGGACTTTGTACAAAATTAGTGTAAGTCTCCTCAACAATTATTGCATATCATGCTAAGTTTTAAATGCTATTTCCGGTGATATCACGTGAAACACTGTGTTAGTTGTGTCGTCGGCGCTGCCTGGCCGGCGGCGGCGAGCGGCGGCGCTCTGTAGGGCACGCATCAGCCGGCCGTGGTGGACCTCAGCCTCCGCGGGCCTGCCGAGTGCCGTCTTCAGGGACCCCGTGCTTGACTTTGGAAAGCGGGCCCTGAACGGGGACCTGATGTGCCGGGCTGCGCGGGCCCTCCACGCCCTCTGAGAGCTGTGTCGGAAAGCAGTCCTCGGAGGCTTAAAAGGCGACACTCAGTGATAACAGTGGAGCGCCCTCTAGTTGACTTACAGTGACAGTGAAGCCGAGGGCCCCCGAGTCAACCCGCAGTTCGAGTGTGACCACGAGTTTCCAAAACAGACCTACCCCCCCCCCATCCTTATGCCCACGCATACCTCCACTCCCCGCTGAGGAAGCCTCTCCCCGTCGCCTGGCAGATGGGGAAGCGGGAAGGGGACCGCACTCTCGCCGACTGGGCCAGCGGTCGGCCGAGTCGGTAAGCTTCACGAGGTGACCTGCTTTGTGGCTTATCGGCGAGCGCAGCCGGCGTGCAGGTCAATATCGCCAGAATCATAGCTTCATCATCAGCACGACCTGAACTGGCGCATGCGATAGTAGGTCGTATGGAAGGCGGCAATAAGGCTCATTTTTTCCATGTTTCCACAATACGGCTGACGAGTAGATCTTGTATGTACCTTTGTAAGGATATGAGAAAGCTTCTTTTTCTTGTACCAAAGAAATGTAAATAGTAATATATTAACTGTACCATACTTACTATCATCAGATAGTAAATATAACTGGCACTTCCGTGTGCGTCAAGAGCTCAAGGATTTTGTGACGTAGACTGTAGGTAGGGATAGTTCTCTTTATTTGTTTGTTTGTTTACTCACATGTTACCTATGCTGTCTGCTGTCACCTGGAGAAGCCGCACATTGAAGCGTGCCACTTGCCAACCAGGAGAATGTGTCACATATCAACTCTTTTAAGGCTTTGTATAAGAGTCTCCCCGAACATAGCGAGGAGCAGTTTCTTTTTTTTTTCCTAAGAAATGTGCAAGTTTCGGAAGTAAGTATGGCCTCCAGGTTCACAAGCAAACAGACCCAATTTCCATCCTGACTGGCCGATCTTGCTGCATGACGATGCCACGATTGGTCGCTCTACAGCCCCTCGTCCGTTTGCCTCACCCCTACCTCGCTCCGGCCTGGGAGATTGATCGAAATTGTCAATAAACGCTGGAAGTTTTAGCCCCGTTCACCACTAAGAAATCGCAAGATATGTAATCATAAATCTCTTTCTTTAATAAACTAAAAAAAAAAGAATCCCCCATAGATAGATAAACAAAGAAATAAACAAAATCACAGACACGAGATAACCAGAGCACCAACAACAACAACAACAACAAATTGTTGATGGGAGCTCTTCAAGTCTCCATGGAAGCCGAGGTGCAGGCATTCGGACGCGAGTGGTCAATAGCGTCCAAGATGTACTAGGCAGCGGCTGAGGCGAAGACGAACGCACCTGAGTCAGCTCTCAGTCATGCAGGGAGCCGTGCGCGATGCTAGTCACTAGCAGGTTTCACTAGTC